AAATAAATAAATAAATAAATAAATAAATAAATAAATAAAATATTAGAATGCTCTCAAATCAATTCTGTGGAGAAAACAGTGGCATGAGCTTGAGTGAGTTTACATAGCTGGCTTCCTGCCAGTCAAGTGGCACCAGGACTGAGTCCCTGCCTGGGTCATGGTCTGGTCAGCCCTGCCGAGTGTGGGCCTGTGTGGAGTTAGTTAGCAAATAGGACATTGACTTCTGTACCTATAACTCATTCTGATATATAAAATTCAAAATAAAAAATTAATTAATTTATTAAAATAAAAAATAGTATGTGTCAATGCAGCTCCTCACAATCCACAATTATAAGCAGTACTTTAAAAAAAAAATCATTCTTTTCTAAACATGGAGAGAGAGAGATGGAAATATCTTTTATTCATGGATACATGTTCCAGATTGCTGCAATGGTCAGGGTAGGTCAGGCCTAACCAGGAGTCCAGAACCCCAACAGAGGGCCCACGTGGGGTGAGTGATCCATCCCTCTGCTGTCCATCTCCTCACGGTCCATCCCTCTGCTGTCCTAGGCTCATGAAGGGCTCTGGACGTGGAGCAGCTGTTGCACAAACTGGTGTTTTTATGAGATCCTGACTTACAGGCTGAGGCTTAACCCACCCCAAGCAGTATTTGCCAATTGTTACGGAAACCTCCCTGCACAGGCTCTGTGACCTCTTAAGGAAAGCAGGGAACCTTTAGAGTAACAAAGGAGGACACTGGGGGCATTGCATCAGCCTGGATCACTCAGAAGCGGCTGGGCCTGATGGTGCTTTGTCCCCAGCTTAGGTTAGTGAGCAGGTGCATGAGCTATTTTTGCAAATAATATCATCTTCAAATAACAGCAGTCAGCTGTGGGGCTATTGCAACCTGAGGGATGTCCTAGCTTGCTGCAGTGCCCTCTCCCCTGATGTTCAGCATTATCCCTTTCCCTGTGCTGGCCTGATCCTGCCTCCTCTACTGTCCCTCTCCCTCCTACATGACACCTGGACTCTTGTTACTTCTAAAGATTTATTATTCAATGTATTAGAATGCCACATACACAGAGAGGAGGAGAGACCGAGAGGAAGATCTTCTGTCCAACAATTCACTCCGCAAGTGGCTGCAAGGATAGAGCTGTGCCAGGTGCCTCTTCAGGGTCTCCCACATGGGTGCAGGATCCCATGGTGTTGGACCATCCTCAGCTGCTTTCCCAGGCCACAAGCAGGGAGCTGGAAGGGAAGCAGAGCCTACAGGAAGTGAATCGACGCCCATACGGAATATTGGCATGTGACAGGCAAGGACTTTAGCCACTAGGCTGCCACACCAGGTAAAACACCTGGGCTCTCACTCTGGTTTCCACCTCACGATGCTGACTCTTAGGGGAAACTCTCTCATTGCCTCCAAGGACACAGGACAATAGAGGGCAGGTGTAGAGTGAGAAGCGAGCCTGAGCCCACACGAAGCTGTTAGGCAGGGCCCAAGGCAGGTCCCAAGCATGTGCCACGAGTTCTGTCAGAACAACTCCATTGGCTTGTAGCCTTCAGTAGCAAAGGACAAGGCCTGGCCTTCTCAGGCTTGAGGACAGCACATGCACAGCTGGACATTTGGAACTGAGTCCCCATTACGTAGAAGTATGACCCAGCCTCCTGTCTACCTTAGCACCAGCTGTCCTTGCTTACCTTCATCAAAACAGAATTCACTGACTTCAGGCAGTGATCCAGGTGACCGACAGGCTTCAAATCGCTGGACTCAGGGAGTCATTTGTTCCTGGAATGGATAAGAACGTCAATGGTTAGTACTGCCCTGGAGTGACTTGCGTAGGGGAATTCCAGGACTGGGTTGAACATAGCTGTTACATTCACGTAACCCCAGACCAACCGGAGCCCACGTGGCCATCATAAATTCCTTCAAGATAAAAGCAACACTAATCAATTAAAGGAAGGTCCTGTGTGCTAGAGACCAACCAAGAACTTGGACAGGAGCTGATTGTGCACTTTTCAGGCCAGACTTTTTTTTTTTTTTCCAATTGAAAAGGTAGATCTACAGAGAGAAGGAGAGACAAAGATTTTCTTCTGCTGATTTCACTCCCTAAATGGCCCAACAGCTAGAACGGAGGTGATCCAAAGCCAGGAGCCAGGGGCTTCTTCCTGGTCTCACACGTGGGTGCAGGGTTCCAAGGCTTTGGGCCATTCTCCATTGCTCTCCCAGATCAGAGTCAGGGGTGGGAAGTGGAGTAGCTGGGACATAAACCGGCCCCCATATGGGATCCTGGTGCATACAAGGTGAGGATTTAGCCACTAGGCCATCTCACTGGGCCCCTCAACCCTAATATTGCTATATAGGAACATTCACCTGTAACTCCATGGAGAGCATGGGAATCAGGCAATAGCTGCCCAGCTCCTTGCTCTGCACTTGGAATAAATGACTACTTCCACCTCCCTGATGTCAGAGTTGGTTTTCTCTGTTTCAGGAGTGCAGACCTAGTTTGGGGGTTCTACAACATCCCTTCCAACCAGTTTGAAGTGTTGGTGTTCTGCATAATTTTTGTTGAATGTTCCATACCAAATTATCAGAGAGAAACATTGCAATTCAAAAGGAGACTCCTAAAGCAACGTGCCATGCAAAGATGCCCAAACTGCAGTAACCAAGACCTACTGCTAAAATGGATTGCAGGTGTCTGGAGTCACGACATTTCTGGGTGCAGATGTTGGCACTTAGACACTGTAGGCATTTACATTGCCCTGGGCTTTGACTTGACCACACTGATACTGACAGTGCACGCCCTTTGAGCTCCTTTGCCAGTGAGATGTTGCTCCATTGAAGATTGCGTTGTAAGTCTCCCACCCCGTATTCCCATTCTTTAAGTTTCCTTCTGAATCAAAATCACATTTCAACCGTGTACAAAAAATGAACAATTGTGAGCTGGGCTTTTACTTACTCATTCATTCAATGTTTCCTTAATGATTGTAGAGAGACAGGGAGGAAGGGAGAGCAAGCAAGAACAAGAGAGAGTGACATGAAGAGAGAGAGAGCTCCCACCTGCTAGTTCACTCTTCAAATCACTCCAATGACCAGGGCTGGCTCAGGACCATCGCCACACCTGGGTCATCACGGAGGTGTCCAGCATGTGCGGCAGGAGCTGCTGGGCCGTTACTGCTGCCTCTCCAGGTGTGTGCTGGGCAGGAGCAGACAGTGACCCGCGCCTAGAACCCAGACTTCTCCCTAGGAAGGCAGACATCAGCCACCAGACTAAGCACTTTCTCCTGTCGCCTCTGGAGTGTGTGGTTTTCAAAGAATTCTTCCACTTTGCCTTACTTACAAAATTTGTTCATGAGCCTGAATTATGGCACTGTGGGTAACCTGTTGCACGGGTTCAAGTCCCGGAGGCTCCACTTCCCACCCAGCTCTGTGTTCCTATGTCTGGGAAAGCAACAGAACGTGGAAAGTCCTTGGGTCCCTGCCACCCCTGTGGGAGACCGAGATCGAGTTCCTGGCTCCTGGCTGTGTTTGATGTCACTAGGGACTTGACTCAGTAGCTGACACTTCTGTGTCCATCTCTGACTCTGTTTTTCTTTATTTAAAGATTTGTTTTTATTATTTTTTTTTATTGGAAAGGCGGATATACAGAGAGGAGAGACAGAGAGGAAGATCTTCCGTCCGATGATTCACTCCCCAAGTGAGCGCAAAGGGCCGATACTATGCCAATCCGAAGCCAGGAGCCTCTTCTGGGTCTCCCACGCGGGTGCAGGTTCCCAAAGCTTTGGGCCGTCCTCGACTGCTTCCCCGGGCCACAGGCAGGGAGCTGGAAGGGAAGCGGGGCTGCCGGGATTAGAACCGGCGCCGATATGGGATCCCGGGCGTGCAAGGCGAGGACCTTTAACCACTTGCGCCACCTCACCGGGCCTGACTCTGTTTTTCAAATACATATGTCATATGTCATTGAAAGAAATACAATCGTTTTCTTACTGTGGAGAACAGTGTGGCACAGGTGGCTGAGTTACAGCTTGCAATGCCTGAATCTCCTGTGTGAGTAACAGGCTTTGGATCACCGCGCGCTTTCATGATGCAGCTCCCTGGTAATGCATCAGGGAAAGTAGCAGAAGATGGCCCAAGGGTTTCAGTGCTTGCCACCCACGTGGCAGAACAACCTGGAGCTCCTGGCCTCTGGCTTGGCCTGCCTAAGCCCTGTGGGTTGAGGCCCTTTGCAGAGAGCACCAGCAGATGGGAGCTCTGTGTCCCTGTGGCTCAGCCAGGCAAACCAAGGAGTGGGTGTTCAAGAACAGAAGAAAGGTGTTGTCCCTTGGGTGGGCAACACGAGGTTCTCACTTCTTCCTTGGAGCAGTGAGGCCGTCCCTGCAATAGGAACTCAGCTGAGGCTGAGTGATGTAAACATGACACATTCAAGGTCACCCTGTCCTGCATGGACTCAGGGTGGATGGGTGTTTTGAGGGCAACAGGGTCTGGCAGAGTTCAAGCAGAAGTGGAAGAGGTGGGGAGTTGTGGCAAGAAAGACTGACCATGGGTTGATACTGACAGAGACACCCAGCTCAGTCCTGGAACGTATGGCCTAAACATGGGTCATCCGTGGAAGCCGCGGCCGCGGAGCCAATTCAAACGACATTGGCGCTGTGGTGGGTGCAAGGGTGGCTGCTTCCCCACCTTTCGCAACACCCCCTCAGCATTCCCTTCCTCCTCTCGCCATGGATCATCCCTGTCCCCCGATCTGGCTGATAGCCACGGTGCCCGGCCCATGTCTCTTCGCCCCTCCGCTTTCTAGAACCCTTCAGACCCTCCCTAACGCCCTTCTGCCTACATGGTCCTGTCTCTGCTTCCCTTGGCTCATGATGTAGTATCCCTGGCCACAACTCCATTTCCTCATCACGCCCAAGTCCTCAAGCTCCGCCAATCGCCAGCTCCACACCCTTTCCCCGCCCAGGCCCGGTATCAACTAGTCCTGCTCCGCCCCCGGTACCGCCCCCATGTTGAGGGCCGGACCTCAGGCGTCCTGTGGGATCCTTAAAAGGACGCAGCGGCTTTCACTTTGGGTTGCTTCTGCGAAGCCTCTAATTCGCTCACTCCTTTTCTGAGTCCTCGGTCGCTGCCGCCGCCACCATGTCCTGTCCGATGCCACAACGCCGGGCCGTGAACACGGTGCTGGGCGCCATGGAGTTTGGGCGCCGCATGGACCAAGCCTCTAGTGCCGCGTCCATGCGCGCCTTCCTGGATCAGGGCTACAATGAGATCGACACGGCTTTCTACTATGCTGATGGCCAGTCGGAGACCATCCTGGGCGGCTTGGGACTCGGGCTGGGCCGCAGCGACTGCAAAGGTAACTGTGGCCCCTGAAGTCTCTTGCTCCATGCACTGCTGATTCTGCCCCGCAGGATCCAACCCAGCCCTGCACCTGCCACTGTCTGCACAGACCACTCCAGAACCATCTGCAGCTCTGAGATGGTACCTACTGCTTCTCTTCCCTTTTCTTCCTCTCCGGAAAGGTTGCCCAGGATTCATCGCTCTAGTCTAGCTTGCAATCCCCAAGCCAGCTCCGGATACTGATCATGCAGGGTCCTGGCACAGGGCTTCCCCTTACTCCAGACACTGTAGGTTGCCCTAATGGCCAGGACTGCTGGGCCCTTCACAGCTGGTAAGCGTTGGCACAGCTCCTAACAGACCTGCAACATAGTACAGATCTGCTTCCTCCTCCCCCAGGCTGCCCTCTCTACAGACCATGGCTTTGCTCCAGGTGCCCTGTACAGTTGGCAGTGGCATGAGCACCTAGCAGCCATGGTGGCCCATTTACAGCACGAAGGGAGGGACCAGTTTTGGGTGTCTCTCATGCCAGCTTCTGTCTCAGGATACAGGATGCAACCCCCTCCTCCAGCTCAGCACTGAGCATGCCCAGCAGGGATCCCATCCCAGGAGGGATGAAGAAGGCTGGTCAGAGAGGGAGCACTGTCCTCCCAGGGGGTAGAAGGTGGTGACGGCTTGAGACTGGCATGGCCGGGGAGACCATGTGAGACTTAGGGTTCATGGGTGAAGGACTGGTAATATCAATGGCCCAGCAGGATGAGAGGATATGTGGGGGGAGCTGTGTTCCAGGTGGCAAGTGACACAGGGGACTCGTAAGGGCAAGGGCAAGTGGAAACGCCCCATTTGGTTATGATAAGCCCTGGGAGTGGCTTTAGCCCGGAATGGCAGGTGCAGTGAGAACTCAGCAGTGTCAGCAATGTCAGTATTGTGTGTTGGGACCTTAACCTCCTTCCCTGAGGAGGCATGGCCAGGTGGAGTCTTAGCCCTGATCCCACTGCTCTAAGGCACCTGCATCTCAGGGGACCCTCCCTCTACACACCCTGCCTGCCTCCCAGGACAACTCACATCTGGCCCCTATTGTTGATGCTGATTCTTTTCCTGAAGTTGCTGGTGTCCTGATCAAATCCTTCTGCTCCCTCCTTGAGGCTGGGTCACTGAGTCACAGTCGTCTTGGTTAGATCCAGAAAGGGTGGAGGATGATGGAGGATGGGAAATGTCCCCAGTGAGTGTCACCAAACCTCATCTCTTCCAGGTCAGAGGTCCCCATGCCCAGTGCTCCTGCCCCTGGCATCTGCCTGGAGGAGCGAACTTCCTGCACTCCCCTGGCAGCAGCCTCTGCCTTCCCTGTGGTCTTTGGGATTCAGACTCCAAGGAAGTTCCTAAGCTCTCATATGGCCTTGTCCCCCTGTGGCCCAGGCTCCCAGAGCACCTTGTACCCTGCCCTGCTTCCTAAACTCTCAGCAGGTGCTCATCACTCAGCACCTTGTGACAGGTGCAGCCTGTTCCCCAGCCATGGTGCAGGTGGGAGGAATGAGGTTCAGAGAGGCCTGGGAACCTTCTCCAGGTGCCAGAGCTGTCAGGGCAGAGCTGGGATGAGCAGTCAGCTGTGTCTCTCCACTGTTGCATGGGTTTAGGACAGTGTATGATGGTTTACTCTGACCTCCATGTCTGTTACCTCCTAGTGAAAATTGCCACCAAGGCGCTGCCATATAATGGGCAGACACTGAAGCCTGAGAGTGTGCGGTATCAGCTGGAAACTTCACTGAAGCGGCTGCAGTGTCCACGGGTGGACATCTTCTACCTGCACATGCCTGACCACAACACCCCCATAGAAGAGACGCTGCGTGCCTGCCATGAGCTGCACAAGGAGGTGAGGGCAGCATAGCCCCGAGGGACAGAGCATGGCCCTCTTCATCCTGACAGTAGCGAGTATATCAGGGCAGTCCCTGAGTGGGACTTACTGCACATCTACGCACACCATAACCGCTCCCCTCATGCTGCTCTTGCTGGCTTCCTGTCCTATACTGGGTTCTTAGCACAGCTTCTCCCCACAGGGCAAGTTCGTGGAGCTGGGTGTGTCCAACTACTCCTCCTGGGAGGTAGCTGAGATCTGCACCCTGTGCAAGAAGAATGGCTGGATCCAGCCCACCGTGTACCAGGTGAGGGCAAGCACTCCACAGTTCTGCTTAAAATGGGCCCTGTGCTGTTTCAGAGCTTTTGGTTCGCTAGTGGGTGAGGACTGGGAATTATCCCAGCTCTTCAGCCTGACTCAGGCAGCTCCTTCCTCTGTGCTGGCTGTGCACTGGCCCCTCCCTCCTGCCTGGCTTTGCCTGTCAGCCTGGGGCAGAGCTGAGTCCCTGGGAGAAGTGTTTAGGGCTCCCCCAGGTGGCAGTTCCCCAGGAAGCCTTTCCCTGTGGTTCCCAGGAGCCCAGTGCACAGGCTCTCCTTCACCTCCTCCCCCATGAACCAGGATGTGTCCCTCTGGGATTGCATGCTGGGCACTGGGCACAGCTCCCTGGGCACACTGACGGCCTCTTTCCTTGAAGATCCTGCTTCTTGCACCTTGCTCTAAACACCTGGAGTGGGAGGGTCTTTTCCCTCTGGTTCCCAGTCCTTCTTGGGAATTAGTGGAACACCCGGCCCAAGGATACTCATCACTGTGGCATGGATGGGGTAATCCTCATTGACTAGTACTTGGAGATACCCATGCAGCTGGCATCTGTCCCCACAGGGCACATATAGCGCCATAGCCCGGATGGGAGAGAAGGAGCTGTTCCCCTGTCTCAGGCACTTTGGATTGAGGTTCTATGCCTACAGCCCTTTGGCCGGTATGTGATGCCCTGGGCATAGGTCCCCTGGGTGAGAGGGCAGGCCTGGTCCCTTCTCTGCCACTACCAGTGCCCAAGGGATGCTCAACCTGGATGTGGGAAGCCAGTGCTCTGCGAAAAGTGGGACTTCCACCCTCCTGGGGTCTCCCAACTTGAGAGATCTAGTAGCACCTTGTAAGGTCTCTGGCCAGGGATGTTATGGTGGCCTTCTTGCAGGTGGGCTGCTGACTGGCAAGTTCAAGTTTGAGGACAAGGATGAAAAAAAGACTGAGGGTCGCTACTTTACAGATCCTTGGGCCGAAGTCCTCAAGAACATGTGAGTTCTGCTGTCTGGCAGAGGGGATGTCTGTTGCTTTCTGGGGGCAGGTCCTTCCTGCCTGTACCAACTCAACACCTGCATGGGGTTTCTGTCCTCCTGGGGCTCCTGTGAAGTATGACATCCCAGTTCCATGTGGCCTTTCAGGTCCTAGATCTGTCCTGAGCAGTCACCTCCTGGTGGGAAGAACTGAGCCTCAAGGTGCTCAGGAGGCCTGGGCTCTGCCCTGTCTCAGCTCCCTTCGCTGCACTCAGTCACATGAGGGCAGGTACATGGCTCTCAGGACCAGAGATGTCATCGGATCCCCTGGGGAGGGAGCCAGCAGCCTGGGGAGGGCCCTCCATGCAGCATGTGTGTAGTGGGTCAGCTGCTGATATACTGTGACCCTGTGCCACTTTTCCCCTTTGTCCAGCTACTGGAAGGAGGAACACTTCAAGGGCATCGCCCTGGTGCAGAAGGCCCTGCAGGCTGCGTATGGATCCAGCGCCCCCAGCTTGACCTCAGCTGCCATTCGCTGGATATACCACCACTCCCAGCTGAAGGTAACCCCACGGTCCTGACAAGTGGCTTCTGACTAAATTGAGGGGGTCAGATTTTGTCTTCTCCAGAAGCTTCTTTTGTCACATGCTTGTGCTGAGTTCTGGAGACAGGTTCACAAACATAAAGTTGACTGTGACTGTGTCTTTATGCACCTGCTGTTCCATGATGCTGATGTGGAATGGCAAGTGCACATGGCTATTAGGGCTATTGCAATGCTAGCATCATAGTAGCTGGAATCATATCAGTCTCTCCTGTCCTGGGAGCTGGTCTCTGTCTCTGAGTCAGCCCTGTGCGAGGTTCTTCCTGTCTTCTGCTCAAAGAAGAACATAGTTAAAATTACATTTATTCGATTCTCAGAGATCCCTTTTTGATGGAAGGTCTGATTGAGTTTCAGTTGCTGTGCCTTTCAAGTTGATTGAAAATAGTATAGAAATATGAACAAAGATTTTGAGGAGCCATCATTGGGGCTCAGGGGGCTGAGCCAAGGACTGTAATTAGAGCCTCTCCCATGATCAGCAGTCTGAGTCTTGGCTGCTCGACTTCTGAGCATGCTCCCTGCTGACGCTTCTGGGGAATTGAAGATGGTCCAGTTCATGTGCGCCTGCACCCACATGGAGACCGGGAGGCAGTGGCAGGCTCTACCTCTGTGTTCGGTGAGCCATCAGTGTCTGCCTGTGGGCTAATGAACCAGCAGGTGAAAATGCTCTCTGTCTCTATGGCGCTAACTCTGACTTTCAAATGAATAAATACATCTTTAGATAAAATCTGAGTTCCACACATGCCAAGAGTCCACAAGCAGTTCATGGACAATGTGTATTATGAAATATGTTGAAAGCGTTTCCAAATCTCATCACCCTAACAACCTCAGCTTCTGCTTCCTGTGTCCATGACCTCTGTGATTCCCCCTCATGTGTCATCAAGGCTCACTAGGGCACGCTGAGGGCTGTGTGTGATCTCTCACTCCCTTGACCACACTGAGAGTGGAGGACACGCAGGCTCAGAGAGGGTAACTAGCTAAGCCACGTTTGCTCAGCTGCTGGGTGGCAGGATTGGGCTCTGGATGTAGGTCTGTGTGGGTGAGCAGGTGGCTTCAGGGACAAGGAGTGACAAAGCCAGAGCTGCCCAGGCCCCTGGGGTCCTCTCTGGCCCAGGAACCAAGAGCTGGGTGGGAAGCAGGGCTGGGCACTGAGTGTGACTGCAGCCCCTGTGCTGTGTGAACTGATGTGTGCTGTTCCCTGCAGGGCACCCACGGGGACGCGGTCATCCTGGGCATGTCCAGCCTGCAGCAGCTGGAGACGAACCTGGCGGCCGTGAAGGAGGGGCCCCTGAAGTCAGAAGTCGTGGAGGCCTTTGAAGAAGCCTGGAAACTTGCTGTCCCTAAAGCTGCCAACTACTACTTCTAGGCCCTGAGTGTTAAAGGCTGCACTGGGTGTTAAAGGTCCACGTGTCAACCCCTTGTTCTCTCCCCTGACCCCCCCTGTCTTCCGCTGACTGGCTGTGGTCTCTGAAGACTTCTGGTCCCTGCCTTTTCCTCCCCTGCCTTGTGTCTTCACTTGGGAGGCTGAGGCCGAGCCCCACACAGCACGTCCTGTGGAATAAAGCTGCCCTGCCCTAGCTGCAGGCTAGGCTCGGGTGAGCCCACCAATGTGTCTGCTCTGCTGCTTGCAGCTTGTTTCCTCCTGTCCTGGGCTGCTGCTGAGAGCGGGGCTGAGCAAAGCCTGGGTCTTCAAGGGCAGATTTTGGGGAAAGGTACCACTAGAATCTCTCTTAGACCAGGTCCCCAATCCTGGCTGTGTTCTTTGGCCAAGGGGCTCTCCATCTCCCTGAGTGAGAAAAGGGACGCCCTGCAGCAGGACGCTCTCCCCTGGGACCCCCTTCAGGGCTTGGGTAGGTGACACTTGCAACTGGTGCTACCATGAGCATCAACAGCAAGAATGGGTCCCAGAGCCAAAATCACACTGAGAAAAACAAGTGGGAGGACTCATCTTTCCTGACTTGAGACTGACTGCAGAGCTACAGCAGGAGACAGTGTGGAATGCCTGCAGAATAGACACGAGTCAGAGAACTAGAGCTGTGAGTTCTGAAATGCCCGTGCCCGGGGACTGCGAGTGGGTTTGAGAGAAGTGGGGAGGGAATCGTCCTCAGCCTGGGGTTCTGGGATGACCAGTGTCCTCAGGCAGATGTCTGAGCTTGCACACCTGGCTCACACCAATACCCCAGATCAACTGCACATGGAAGAACCCCAAGTGTCAAGGCTATTTCCTAAAACTCTTAGGGGAAAACCCAGGAGTAAATCTTCACAACTTTGAGCTAGGCAGGGATTTCTGAGGTAAGTCACGTGATGTCAAGGAAAGTAAACTAATAAACTGGACAATAAGCAAAGAGTTAGACCTAAAGTTATATTAACAGTTAAGTGATTGAGGGTAGTGTTGTAGCGATGATAATTGGCCGCTTGGAACCTGCGCTGTTACATGGTGGGCTGGACCTCCACCCGTGGCCCTAGTATCTGATATGGGTGCCTGTTTGTACCCTCGGTGCTCCACGTCTGAATCAGCCCCCTGCTATGGCCTGGGAAAGCAGCAGTAAAGGATGGATCAAGTCCTTAGCATCACGCATCCATGTGGAAAATGCAGAAAAAGCTCCTGGCTTCATATCAGTTTAGCTCTGGGCTTTGAAGCTAAAGGGAGATTGAACCAATGGATGGAAGAGTTCTTTCTATGTCTCTTGTTTCTATTTTTAATTGGGGGTTCATTCAATTGTGATACTGGTGTGGCAGATCTAGTGGGAACATGCCCTCTCTTTTGGTGAGTCCCCATGGGGCAGTTAGTTCTCTTAGAGGCTTGGATATATACACAGAGTTACGCCCAGCTAATCCCTTTGCTTCCTGGGCTGACAAGGGACCCTCGTTCACTCTCCATGGACAAGTGGTATTTGAGCTTCTTGACTTTGGACAACCAACTTGTGAAAACATGAGCCGAGATGAATTTTCCCAACCATGATTAGTTTCTCCCAGTTGATGTAGGGCAAGCAATGAAAAGTTGACATGTACAACCATCAGGACAGGATGGGAGAAAATATTTGCCAACAACATCATCAGCCAAGGAGCATATGTCTAGGTTATGGTAGGGGCTCTTGTCACTTGATAAAATGTGCACACAACTGAACAAAGGACTGGGCAGAGGACAGGAATAGCCCTTTCTCCAAGAACATACACAAATGACAAAGAGTACAGGAAATCACTCCACAGCACTGCTCAGAGGGAAATCACTAAATCACAGTGACTCAGCAGGAAAACTCCAAGCAAACCACAATTCTTAGGATGACTGTGGAGAGGAAACAGTGGTTGAGGATTGTAGAACTGTAACCCTTACCATCTGCTAATTGAAAGGGAACTGGAAGAGTCACATGGAAAGCAGGCTGGCAGCCCCCCAAATTCCACATTCAATCATGGACCCAGCCAGGCAAAGCATGTACTTCGGTCAGAGAAATGAAGCCTGTGTCCTCACCAAAGCTTGTCCATGGATCTTCAGAGCAGCATCACTCATGATAACTAGAAAGTGGGAACAGCCCCCAGTGTCAACCAAGTGAGCAATAGATAAGCCACGTGGAGCACAGAGTCACACATGATGACACTCTGCAGCCACAGGAGGATGCAGGATGGGACATCTGCAGTGTGCAGGAGACTCAAGGAACCCCAAGTGGATGAGTCGAGTCTTTCAGACTGTAGGATTCCATTTCTATGAATTGTCTGCAAAGCAAGCCCATGGCACACAGATGGTCAATTAATGGTTGAGCAGACAGGCAAGGGCTGTGCAGGAAACAGAGCCTGGCTGTTACCCAGTGCAGGGTTCTCTCAGGGGTGATAAGGATGCTCTCAAATGGATGGTGGTGGCTGCACAGCTCTGCACACCCTAAAACCCTTTTCTGATAGACTTTAAATCGGCAAATGGGGGCTGCTGTTGTGTTAGAGCAGGTCGGAAGCTGCTGCCTACAATGCCACCATCCCATTGCACTGCCAGTCTGTCTCTGATCTGTTCCATTTTTTTGTTAGATTAATATTGGGTATTTTCATTCTTAAATTTTGATAATCTTTACATTGTTGATTATGGCTCAAAGGGTCAAAGGCTACAGGAAAGCGAGTAAGACCATTGTTCCCACATTCTCTTTTATCCTTGCTGTATCTGGGGGAAGGGGAGGGACAAAGGGAGAAGCCACACCCACCCTCCCACCATCCCAGGGTCCCCGATGTGAGGCATGCTCCAAGGGTACTGCTCAAGTGGTTTGATAGTCCAACTGTTGTGAATTGCTGCCAATCTCATCATTCCAAGCACAATGAAATCTCTCCAGCATCCACTGGCTGACATAGTCCACCTTAGTGTCTCCACTTGCCCAGATTTTCACTGCCAACATGTGTCTGGGGTAGATGATCAATTTGTTCTGTCCTCTGTTGTGGTACCAGGTGTCCTCTACAAGGTCCAATGTACTGCCATATTCTCCATGTGCACCTGGATACGCTGTCTATTTCTCTGTCTGAGCCATTAAGGTGGCTCAGCTGTGACACATGCACTCCATGGTCAGACCATGGAATCTGCAATTCTCTTCATGGCTGGGGTTCTGAGTCCACCAGTTTAACTAGGGGGATTCCCGGAAGAAACTCCATGTGACATGATCCCAGACCAGACACTTGGGTTCTGCTTGCCAGTACAAGGTCCAGCACAGTCTATCATCCCTACCAGCTTATGCTGGTAGTTGCCATTGTTGGGTCAGTTCTGCCTCCAGCCCTGTCTTCTACACAAACCAATGGGTGTTGGAGTCCATCCCAATCAGGCCCACCACACACTTGTTCATGTAAACCAGTGGGAACTGCAGCCGAGTTGGGGCGACCCACAATAACCCCCATCAGGCCCAACCCCTGCCCTGTTTCCCGTGCTTGCCAGAATGTACAGTAGACTGGTCCAATCTGTCCCACATCCCATTCAGTTCACATACATGTCAATGGGCTTTGAAGCCTAGTTCAACCCAACCAGCTCCACTAGCCAGCCCACATACCTGCTGACAGGTGCCATTCTCTGTCTAGCTATGGCTGACCCAGTCCTGGTTCTCATGCTCACTGGATGGAGTGCCAACCCAGGAGGGACGAGCCCACTGTTTCCCTAGCTTGTCCCACTACCACTCTCAGATCATGCTCTCTCCAGGTATTTCTGAAGTTTGGCATGACAGAATCAGTGCACCCTCCCCATCCCCCGTGCTAGCATCTGCCAGCTGATGCTGCAGCAGAGCCTACCAACCAACACCCACTCTGACTTATACTTGACTTATACTTGCAGCAGTAGGAACAGTCAACCTATCCTGTCTTTTCCCTGGTCTAGCTCACATGAGGCCAACAGGTGTTGTAGCTCTGCTGGGTCTGGTCTGCCCCCATCCCAACTCACGTTCTCCAATGGGAGTGGTGATCCAGCAGGGGAGCCCTGCACATCCTCCTACCAGGTTTACACCCTCAACCCCTGGTCTTGGTTGTGATTGGGCATCGTGGCCTGCTTTGGCATGACATTTACCTCACCTCAGCTTTTGCCAGTGGGTGCTGTAGCCTGACCCTGCCCAGCCCATCCACAATTCCAGCTAAGGTTGTTGGGTACTACAGCCTATCCCTGCCCAGCCGGCACCCAGTCCATGCCCTCACGTGTACTGGTGTGCGTTGCACCCCAACCATGCCTGACCCACACTCCAATCTGGTGCTTGGATACACTAGTGGGTGATGTGAACTGGCCCTGCCTGGTTCACCCCGAACCTGTGCCATATGTGTGCTGGTGGGTACTGTTTCCCTGATCTGCACTGGGTTGTTCCCTTATCGTGGTTCTAGTGCTCACCTGCATGAACTGTGTCCTGACAGAGCAGTTTCCCAGGCTCCTCCACCAGAACCTTTCTCAAATCCAGATCTCAAGTACATAGGTAGATCCCTGGGTCAGCTCTACTCAGTCCACCTTCTAACCTAGCAGAAACAGGCCTGACTGGCCTTCAATCCATTCTGATTGTTATTGTGTTGGTTGTTGCAGCCCAGTCTAGCCTGGTCCACACGCAGACACAACTCATACCAGGCTCAGCTCGGGCAAAAACCTAGCTTAGCCCATCCTACACATATCCTGGTACTCACGAACACCAGTGAATGCTGGGGTCTAGCCCAGTCCAGCGTATTCAGCTGCAGTCCACACTTGTGCTATGGTACCCTGCAGCCATGTCCAGACCAGTGCGCTGCTCCCATTCCAGCCCCATGCTTACCAATGGGAACCACAACCCAGCCAGGGCATCCCCTAAATTCCCCAACCAGGTCTGTTACCAGCTATAAATCTTGCACACGGCAGTGGTGGCTCTGACCCAGTTTGGCATTGCCCCTCACCTGTCATGACCTTTGCCTTAGATGCTGTGGCCTTACCTGACCCAGCCTACCCCAAGTCCCATCACAGCTTGCAGGTGCTGGAACCTGGCCCTGCTCCGTCTGATCTCATCCCAGGCTCATGCAAACTGGTAGGTATGACAACCTAGCTGAGCTTGATCTGTACTTCAGCCTGGTTTCTGCTCTTGCTGGTGAGGTAAGGTTGTTTTGGCCCTGCCTGGTCGCCCCCCTCCAAAACCAAACCACACATA